GAAAGTGGACTACGAATGGAAACCAGAAAGCTTCCAAATCAAGGATCTTTCACACAGATGGCTCATATTTCTACGCTGTGATATTCCCATGTGCTTAACAACAGCAGTGTAAAGAGTTACCATTTTGTTTAATTAAATTTGCCACTCTTGGAAAGGTTTTGGGAGCTTCAATAGGTGCATCTCTTTTGATGTTTTAGAAATGGACAATTTCTTATTTGGATTTAAACTGAAAAAAGACCCAAATGGCATTTTGGAGTAACAGTAAATACCACTAACATTTCCATTTGCATTTTCAACTAACACTCCAGAAATGTAGTAGAGTTAAAATGTAAAAATAGCTGTCCAGCCAGATGAGAGTAGACAGTTGTTTCATCGGCAGCTGTCTCGGGGAACCCGCTGGACATCATCAGTGACCCTTGTGGGTCCTGGGACCCTAATTTAGCAACCACTTCTCGAAACCTCTTAGTATCAAGCTGCAGTGGACCCTGATACTCTGGCTGCCTGCGGTTTCTTCAGTCCTGCCTGCTGCAGAACCAGTGCTGGAATATTTTGTCTGCAACCGACTGTGACATTCCTGGCAGTCACAACAAAGCCAGGCAGAATTTTAGGTTTAGCCGAGAGGTGGCAGGGGAACAAGAAGAGGCCTCCAAGAGCTGCACAGACTGAAATACAAGCAGCGGGATGTGCTTTTTATGGTACGCATTCTTGGTTTGTAGCTTGACGTTCTTGTCCAGGATGACGCTTAGTGTCTGCTCAACTTTAAAAAGGAGTCCAAGTTTAATTAGTACGGATTACAAAGATTTGTAGGCAGTATAAAAGAAAGACTAGATTTGACTTCAACACATTGGTCATAATTTCTACTTTGAAATTCAAGCAAATTTTAACATAATCTATGGGAAAGAAATGTCAGTTTGACCAGATTAAATTTATATGAACGCTAATAAACCTGGGTAAGCATATGTGAACCCAAAAATGATCAGAGATTTGCAGCAACACAATTCAACAACCATACAGTACAAAACATGCATATACCCAGGCACAAGAGGTTAGACCTCATGCTATTAGATGTTAGAAATTAATTTCACATCAATTTCAGTGTTTCCCACAGATTTAGTATCGTTTCTTAAATTAACTATCAAATAATATAATTTATAAGTTTCCCTTTGAATATTTTGCCATGTGAAACTCAAAATCTATTGCTTTGGACTGCCTGACCAGGCTGGTCCTAAATTTGCAGAGTATCTCCAGAGCATGCAATGGACTACTGCCTTATTACAAGTCAGTGTTGTTGTACTCTGTCTAGTCAGTGGAGGGAATCGTCACTGGGAATAAATCTGAATAATGTAGAGCATAGGTCTTCAGTTAAAATTTAAGGAGGTCCATTTGGAGAAAATGTCCTCAAACAAATATCCAAAATGAGAGACACAGCACTGCTCTGGAATCAACAGGGTAGTTGGAGCCATTTTTCTGGAGAGCTTATGGTAAATATTAGGGATGTTCTTGATGATCAATTTATTAGTTGATTAAACTTGGAAAATATAAAAGCAGAAAAGCCTCAGAAAACATTTAGAACTGAGCACAATCAAATGGACATGTTTAAACATTGGCCATATATATTGTTGCTTAAAAAAACTTTCATTAAATTTAAAACAATTTGATAACAAAATTGTAGTGTTTTAAAATGTTTTAAATGTCTCTGAAATGAGTGTCACACAATGCCACGCCTATGGAGAAAACGGTTAGGCAGCACTTCAGTCAAGTGGTTATATCGTTTTACTTTGACAAAGGCGACATACGACTGCTTGTTTTTGACATTAAGGTATTCCAGAAACCGTTTTGCTTTGCTCAGCTGCCATCTGCTTGCTTTGTACCTTGTTCATTTCCAACCTCCCATCACTGAAAGAGGGAAGGGTGTGGTTGCCTATCAGTGCTACAGCCCTGGTTAATCAAAGCTGCATTAAAACATTGTTAAACCAACTGGTTACTGCTGTTATACTTTAATATAAATAAATATATCAAGTTGTTTCTCCACAGATCAACTCTGTACTGTGTTAATGCCAATGCTGATAGAGATAGGATAATCAAAGTTGACTTAATTTGAAAACGTACTCACATATATATATATATATATAATATATAAGTTTTCAAATTAAGTCAACTTTAATTATCCTAAGTTATATAAGCTTTTTCTTAAACCCCAGTACAAATTTACTCCAAGTTCATCCTATCACTCCTCCACCCACAAGTCAGAAATGGATTTGGAGTGTAGTCTTTCCTTTTCTCTTAATTTTCGTAATTTTCTATTCATCACAGGCTCGCTGTTAGATGTTCACCAGAGACATTCTGCCCACCACCTGCAGTATTTCATCATGCACAGCTAAATCCCTGCAGCTAGTAAACCTGTCAGCCCCATGCTGCGTGCATACTTGGCTAGCTGTAAAGCGGGGGCTGGCTAACGGCTTTAGCAGTGTAGAGCTAAGAGGCTAATGTTGTTGTGTTAGGGGTTAAATCGGTATTATCCTCTCCTTGGTGGACCAGCAGAGACAGAGGACAGACAGGGTGACTGGGTTCATGAAAATAAAGAGAGAAAGTGGAATCGGACCTCTGTTCGAGCAGGGCTTTCCTGTGTTTTAATTCAATAACCAGGACACTGCACCAGCAGCTGTTCCTTCAGATATAACCCAAGGTCAGAGCCTGCATGAACCAGCGTTACATTACATAATCATTCAGCCGCTTTTACAAAATGTAGATAAAGAAGTAGCTTTGACCCCTCAACGGTAAATGCCAACAAGATATGTTAATAATTAATCTTTTTTCCAGCTCCAAAACAATGGTCTCTTTATTTTTCTTTTTTGTTACAGAGACCTGCTGTGATACTAGTGTTAAATTTAAAAGCTGTTTTACTCACTTTGAAGAAGTGCCTGAGCAATTATTCTTGTGTCTTAATCAACATCAAGTTCGACTTAAACATCACTTTCCCAACTTTGGAAGTTAAATATAAAAGGTTGAACTGAAATGATGTGAGTGGAGTTGACTGCAACATGTTATGGTAGTGCAAATGCAATAAAAGCTTCCTAATAAGTGTTAAACTAAAAGTACTGACAATGACACAGAGAGAATGAAGTCGACAGGGAGATTTTTTTTTTGTTTGCCACACTTTAACAGTTTGTTATTTAAGTCACAAACAAATATACAAACTGCAAAAAAAATTAAACTAAAAATTTTAAGAAATTATACAAAAAGTTAAATTGTAAATAAATCACAGATATGACACACAACTGTTTTAATAGCTGAATATTCTGGCTTTGTAAAAGATCCCTGAAGCAAATTCAGTTAAATTTTTAGTTTTACATTTTTTTCCAGACAGAGTAGAGGGAAAATGAACACATTTCTAAAACAAATACTCGAATAAATCTGAATATGTAAATCAGTTACCAGAGCATGTTTGCAAACCTTGACAAGCAGTTGGACCTGGCTGATCGAAAGTAAGCATGGCCTCAAAAAGAGAGCTGGAATGCATTATACAACTCCTTTCAAAAAAGAAGTCAGTTTCTCGAGCAGTTCAGGCTGTTGACCAAAGAACTGATTATGATATATATGTTTAAAGATGCAATTAATTAAGCTAATTTGATTTGCTTGAAGTATGTTTCACAAAAAACTAGTTTTGCCTGTTATGTGGGATGTGTTTATTTGTTGCAAGTAAGCACATTTGGTGCTCCCATGATTTTTGCCAGGGGTTTGTACAAAACAAAAAAAGTAGCCATGACAAGTCTCCAAACTACTAACATTTTTCTAACTTTGGTATTTTAATATGTTGGCTTTCCAGCTAGCAGTTAGTGCACTGATGACGTCATGTGAAGTAGGTTTTGCATTGAGATCCCTGGTGTTCATGCCATCTTTTGTTTTTGTTGAGCCCTTAGGGTGTGTTAAATTGGTAAGGAGATTTAAAGCTTTAGGGATTAGGCAACTAATTGATTAATCAGTTGAATTTCTCATGTTTTCAGTGTTTGTTTTTTTTGAGTGCAGGTTAAAACTGACATCATGAACATTATGATGGATTCAGAGTGTGAACTGCAGTTTCATGGCAAATCAGCGACATCTGCATAAGAACATTAGTTTGCTCATGTTTAGCGCCACTCGGGTGTTTCTGCTCATTAGTTGTCAGGCTCAGAATCCCCATCCCCTGTCATAACACGCATCTAGAAGCAAAAAGTAACATGCCGAACAGCTGATAATTGCTTTGTTTTTTTTGTTATGTTAGAGAAAATCTGGAGAACTCTAAATATATGTGAATGTTAGATCCCCTAGGATTCAGTTAAGAGCTGCATTTATTGCTTAAATCTGTCATTAGTTAACTGAAAACTGGCAATAAACTATCCAGCAAAATAGAAAACAAGGTTTTTGTCAAACCTTTCACTTATATTCAGTATTTATTTTCCATCTCATTTGACCTAAATGTTTTACTTTCTTTAATACCTTCATGCTGCTCCCCCCCCGCATTTGTACATTTCAGACCTCTGTTCTCTTTCTGTCATCCTGATTTTCATTTTGATTAAATCCCAAATTCATTTAAGTGGAGTCCATTAATCCTCACTGGATTTAATACTGCAGCTGTAATGCTCTGCTAAAGCACTGACAACATATTTTCTGTAGCACCTTTCTTTCTCTTAACATAGTTTGTTGGAATATGAACTCCCCTTAGGACTGTAATTTTTCAGTTTTTGTTTCACAGAGTGTTGATGTTGAATGCTCCTGTTGGATTCAAATAGGTCAAATGTTTCAGCTTTACGCGTCTCTGTTCAGTTTTGTGTGATTTGTTTTCTACACATTCCAGACCTGTGCAGATAAATGTCTGGCAAGTTTAATACTAATACCTAAATAATGCCCCTTTCTCCCTTCGTTAAGGCTACAACTCCTTCAGGATTATGGCTGTGAAAGAAATATTGTTAACATCTCTTTTAGACTTAAGGAATCTTGTTGCATCCTGACTTGTGTTACAGAGGTTTAATGCCCTCATTTGTCTTCTCATTTCCCCCCCGCAGGCCAGTTATCCTACATGGGAGGACTTTGTATCCAAAGGAAATAAACTGCAGTCACAGCTCAGGTAAGAGGCACATTTTAACCCCTTTTATGTGTGTTTTTAAATCAGCAGCTCATTATTAACATGAAACATTTTCACCTGTAGAGCAGATTAACCTGTAGATGAGTATGGGCTCAAAATGTGGTCATAAATATTTTGTACTTGTAAATCAGTTTTGTACTTGTAAAAAACAAATTTGTATGTGTAAAAAAATTTTGTGTGCGTAAAAAAGATTTGTGTGTGGACTGCAAGTTACAACTACGAATTTTGACCCTATTTTTCTTCCTTTCATCTGATTGGTGAATGTCATGTCAATCACAAATGTAACAATCCAATCAGAGAACAGATGGGTTTGGCTGTCGGAGGGGCGCTTTTTTTTAAC